CCTAAAAACCGCTGCATTGACGGGAATTTCTCAGGCAGAGCGTACTCTCGCCGAGCGTTCTGGACCGCCGATCAGCGGGCACCGTGTGCGACTGCACCAACGGAAATTTCCATGACAGAATGTACTCCCCCCTTACCTTATGAAAATGATTCGCGCCCGCGTGTTACCGTTTTTTTTTTCCTAAAAAGTAAGTACTCGTTATTAATTTGCAAAAGTAATTCGTTACAATTACCGTTATTCAAAATGTAACTCGTTACTGTTATTGTTACTCAAAATGTAACGAATCATTATTTTTTTATTACTTTTTTTTCTTGACATTAATAAAATATTGCTTTAAAATAGCGTTTTTCATTGGCAGAACTTGTGCATACTCAGTGCACCTTTGTATACTTTAATCTAAATGTAAAAATGAGAGATATCTAAATTGAATAATAAATAAAATACCTAAAGTATATTTTATCAAATAACAATAATATGTATTGAGGATTTTTCCGCGATTTAACTCGTTTCTATATTTTTATTAAACATACCAGGTGTACAAGTACGAAGTGCGGATTTGAGACAATAGATGGTGCATCACTGCAGTGTGTAGTATAAAGATTTGACGTATATGCCATTTTGTTGTGCCATCAACAAGTGTCAAACGCGCATAAGTGATAAATTGAAAAAGTGTTTGCATAATATTGTTTTACTGTGTTCAATATATCGAAATTTGTGCCAAATAAAGAGCATTCGCGGACAGCATTAATTTTTTTGTTTTCATTTGAAGAAAACTGCTGCTGAATCATACCGATTACTTCGAGAAGCTTATGGTGAACATGCTCCATCGCAAGAACGATGGTTTCGACGTTTCAAAAGTGATGATTTCGATGTTGCAGACAAGGAACACGGAAAACCGTCAAAAAGGTACGAAGATGTAAAATTGCAAGCATTGTTGGACGAAGACGATTCACAAACACAAAACAACTCGCAGAGCAATTAAGCGTTAGTCAACAAGCTATTTCCAATCGCCTACGAAAGATTCAGAAGGTCGACAGATGGATATCACATGAGTTGAACGAGAGGCAGATGGAGAGGCGCAAAAACATATGTGAAATTTTACTCGAACGATACAAAAGAAAGTCGTTCTTGCATCGTATCGTTACTGGGAATGAAAAGTGGATATATTTTGAGAATCCCAAGCGCAAAAAATCATGAATAGATCCAGGTGCACCATCCACATCGACCGCAAGACCGAATCGCTTTGGCAGGAAGACGATGCTCTGTGTTTGGTGGGAAGAAAGGTGTGATCTATTATGAGCTCTTAAAGCCTGCTGAAACGGTTAATACCAAACGCTACAAACAACAATTGATCGATTTGAACCGTTCGCTATTTGAAAAACGACCAGAATATCGAAAAAGGCAAGATCATTTTTTTCCATGACAGTGCTCTATCACATACGGCAAAACCGGTTCGCGACACGTTGGAAGTACTTAGTTGGGAAGTGCTAGCCCATGCGGCTTACTCCCCGTAACTAGCAATGGAGCATACTTTATAAACCACTTTTTATCATTCTTCCGAATTTAACGTGTTTTTTTTTTTGAAAAAAAATTCGCATTTCATATTTGTACACCTGGTACATTTTTACGTCGATTTGTATATAATGAATTTAAAGTGAGCTGAGTGCGCACTAGTTCTGCCAACGAAAAACGTTTTATGCAAATTTTTGTGATAAATATAAAAAAGATGTCAGAATTCTATATCCTTTAGTAGAGGAATAAAGCTCAAAACCTGATAAATGTATATATACAATATGTACAGGGTGTAGCAAAAAGTCCCGGACCCCTTAAATATCTTGAAAAGTAATCATTTTTAAGAAAAATGTTTTATACAACCCTACAAAAGTTGTAGGGTTGAAAATGATCTATTGACTGACCTTATCAATTTGATCTTGGATGGCGCCATCAAAATCAAATCAAGGTCAAATCGATTTTTTTACGAAACACCCTATTTTTTAGTTTAGAATATAATAGCTGAGGTTGGGAGCTTTCCAAAACACTGAAATAAATACTCTTTTTAATCAGTACTTTTCAAGTAATGGAAGTTAAAAGTTATGGAACTGTCGCGGCATTAGCATTACTTAAACTACGTAGTTGCTTCATTCTTACACTGCTCCTAAAACATTATCGCTAAAATTGTATGTGAAGACAGTAATGATAATTCCAGGTAAAAACTTTTTTTGTTTATTTTTGTCTAGGAACCATTTTTTTATCCGACAAATTAAATGCAGCCAGATATATAGATTTTATGACAATTGACTTCTTTGATTATTTAAAAGACATTCTAGCAACTGATTGAAATGTGGTTTCAACTCAAAAGGGTGTCCAATTCATTATGGCAGAACTACTCGAGCTTAGCTAGACAGATATTTTTCACAACGATGGATTAGACATGGAGAAATAGTACTTTGGCTATCCCGATCTGATACCATTGGATTTCTTTGTATGAGAATCCTGAAGCAGGAAGTTTATTCGTAGTCAATCAACTCAAGAGAACAATTGAGAAATCAGATCAGTGTTTCGCAACACGAACTGTTCCTACTAGATACAACGCACTGCTGTAAGAAGCCAACATTTTGAACAATATTTACATTAAATAAGTTAATAAATGCAATGTGAATAAATAATGAGAAAGTACAAAAATGAAAATTATGTTTTGTCTTTTCTACGATTTTCTCTAAAACAAAGCAAAAACGAATCTTCTATCATACAGGACTTTTTTTTTTAGTTTATAGATCCCCTACACATTCCCGAAGTTTTGACATTTAAATTCCAGACATTTTATATATTGGCAACTATTTTTATCAACATGAGAAAAAAATTCTGAAAAAATTTTGACATAGCATGTCGAAATAATTATGTTAAATATAATTGTTATCAAAAACATGAATTGAAATATGTAATTTAGAAATAAAACGAAAATTACAAGAAAAAACGGAGACCTAACCACCAGATCGAGGCGCATTAGAATTCCGCGCCGACGACGTCTTCCCCGACCTCTCTGATCGGGCCTGTCCCGTTCACGTACTCTCGGCCTTCTCCTTCCAAAGCATGATAGCTTCACTGAAGGAGGAGATCGCCTTCCACGATTCCTTGCCGCTCAGCATGGCCTTCACCAGTGCCGGTAGCGAGAAGTTACTCATCCCCTTGGCGAGAAGAACGCGTTCTATGCTCCACGCCAAGCATTCCTCCACGGTGTGCGACGCCAAGTCTACCTCGGCGTCACAGTGATGCCGTGATCGGCTCCTTCCCAATTCTCCACAGGTACTCACTACGAAGCATCCATGCCCGGTGAGTATCTGCGTGAGACGATATGAGAGGACATCGTGCCCTCTCGCGACCCAGTCCTGAAGATGGGGACGACGATCCTTACGACCTAATTGCCGGCGGATTCCGGGTCGGTACTCGACTCTAGGCGCTCCTGCATTAGTCGATAATTCGGGAATATGTCATACGATCCTCGTGATCTCAATAGCGCGAGTCAGATGCTCCTCCCGTATATGGGCGGCCTCCAGCCAACGATAGTTATCGGCTCGTCCCGAGCCAAGAGGTTCGCGGGAGGAATATCCGCGAGGACCGTCGCGGCGACATACGACAACGTCCTGACATCGATAATCGGAGGGCGAGACGACGCTGCACCCGATTAATGCATTGACGAAGCCGGGCCATCTCTCTATCCCAGTCCCACCAAGACGGCGTGCATATATCCCCGCCGCACTGCCGCACCAGGGTCATGAAGGTTGAGCATGATGCCAGCCAAAGCATCAACCAACCTGTCCAACCTGGGAGAGAGATCCAAATATTTCATCTGGAGCCCCATCTGCACTGTTGTTCCCACCCAGACTTCCAGAGGCGGCGGCCCCTCCTATCGACGAAAATCGCTTCCGTCTTTTGGGGTGCCATCTCCAGTCTCCTAGGTTTCTCACAGACCACAATATCAACCGCAACATTAACGGCATCCCCCAGTCTCGCCTCCCCCTGCGATAACTAGGGTGTCGTCGGCGTAGCATACCGTGTGATATTCCAGCTTGGCGGAGCACTGCGTCATATACGATGTCTCATAGCAGGGGGCCTAACATCGATCCTAGCAGGACACCGCACGACAACTTGCTCTCATGCACCCTACCGTTTCTTGATAAACCAACTTCTGTGCCGGAAGTAGTCCTCGATCATGGCGTCGGGCAAGTCACGGTAGGCGAGTGCACCGATCACCCGGTCCCAGAGGAGGGTATTGAAGGCATTAACGATATCAATAAATACCGTCACAGCCCACTCCTCCCCCCCCTCTCGCTTATCACGAATTCCGAGGGTTCGCACCTGTCGAATAGCACCGGCAGTCGAGCGCCCTTGACGGAATCCCTATTGCCCCGGATGAAGATTGGGGCCTTCTCAACATAAGAATGTACTATAATTTGGTTGGGGTTAGGTTATTATGTATATATGAGTATACAATAACCTAACCCTTTTTTTTATAAGGCGGGAGAAATGTCTACGCATACTCTCGGCTCTCGGGAACAGAACCGAGAGTTATATGAGACTTGCACCCACTTAAAACCCCCGCCAGTGTTCTTTATTGGCCTATATACGGGGACGCCCTGGGCATGCGTACAGCATTCACCCAGGCTTGCTGACCTGACTGGTCGATCTTGATTTTCGATAAATCTAACTTACAGTCAGGCCCACCAATATCCCTGAGAAAGAGGCATTCACCTCTCTTCAAGCGAGCTTCTCTTCAACCGAAGAGGGGACACCGTCTCCTTCTCCCCCTCCTTCTGCAGCATGACAGCCACGCAGAAGGAGGAAACCGCCCTCCACAGGTCGTCGTTGCACAGCATGGCTGCGACCATTGCCAGCGACGACAAATCCTCTCCGATTGTTCGGACTAGAACGGCTCTTTCGTCTGTGCCGGGCAATCTTCTATAGTGTGCGGCGCCGAATTGAGCTCAGCATCACAATGATGATCACTCCGTGATCAACTCTCTGCCTATCCGACACAGGTACTCCCCAAAGCATCCATGCCCAGAGAACACCTGCGTCAAGCGATATGAGAGGGCACAATCCTTCTCGATCCACTCCTTAAGGTGGGGACTAATAACTCGCATAGTCCGTTTGACGGAAATTTCCGGATCACTCTCCAAGCGCTTGCGCCAGAACTCTACAAGAGGTCCATCATCATCCTTCTGATCTCGATGACGCAAGGAGGCGGATATGCGCCCCCTTATGTGGGCGGCCTCTAACCAGCGGAAGTTTTCCGCCCGCCCGTGTACCATCAAATCCGCGGGAGAAACTCGAATGGCGATGGCCATTGCGGCGGCATGCGACACCGTCCCCTCGCAATAGGCCCTCGCAATTCTGAGGACCAGTCAGCGCTGCACCCAGCTCAAAAAAATTCTGTATAAATACGTCCTGATCCCAAACCGGCGTTCCATAGAGGAACGCTGCCAGGACAGAATGCATATATATCGCATCGCCATTCCCAGACCGTGCAAGTTTGGCATAACGCTCGCAAGAGTCCGCAGAGCTTAGGAGTCAGCCACTTGAAGTGAGCGATGAACTCCCACTGAGTGTATCTCAGATATTTCATCGTCAGCCCCACCCTCACGGTCACAGTCCCCAACTTAATACGCGCCACCGCCGCTGCTGTCGAGTGAGGTGCGATGTTTTTATGAATTTTTTATTTTTTAAATTTCTTGTTTTTATTAGTTTTTGTTTCTGAGTTTTTCTTAGAAACAAAAATGAAAATTATATTTCTTTATTTTATTTTTAATTATATATATTTTTAATTAAAAAATTTTAATTTTTTAATTTTTTTGTTTAATTTTCATTTTTTTAAATTTTTTAAAATTCGTTTTTTTAAGATTTCCGTCTATAATCATCACAAATAATCATGCCAAGAAGAGCCAACACATGCTGTTGATGTGTATGTATTTATTCAAATATAATATATAAAATAAATTATATAAACGTTTTGATCCTTTGTTTAGGATCATCTTAAATGCTATTCAAATTAATGCTTTCGTTGCGAATGTCAAAAATTAAAAATTAAAACTAGAGTTACAATTGAGTCGCTTTTTCATATTACATAGTTCCTATAGATTATGAATGCGTCAAGATGTAATGCGTTCTTTTGTCCAACATATTGATCCCCAAAATTGACAGATTAACTAAATAATAAATTAATTACATATATAAACAAGTAAAGTACAGGTTATATTTTAACAAACTTCTATGTTAAACTATGCTAGACTGTTATTGTCCGTTTGACATGTGGATCTCGTGAGGATACGATAAACAATCGATAATATTACATAATTTAATTTATATAATCTTTTTAATTTTGTTATTACAATAATTTTTAAGATCTACGTAATAATATATTCGTTATGATATTTTAAAAAATATGTTTTTACATTCTAACCCTCATTCGTCCTTTAAACTTTTTATTAAGTTTCAAAATAAGAATTTTGATGATCATAAAAATTCTCTTAAATAATGGATACCCATTAGATTTAATTTTTTCTACAATCAAGAAGAGATTTCATTAAAAAATTGATATGCTAAATAAAATAATACATGCTACAAAAGTGCCTTCTAAAAAACATGAAAAAAACATGAAAGAAGGAAAGAAAAAAACATATTTAATATTACCTTTCATCTCAGGCACATCGGAAAAAATAAGTCATCTTTCTGGGAACAATTAAATAATATGCATGGCGTATTTGAAAATTAATAAATTGAGTAAATATATTAGAGTATTAAAGGATAAATTAAAGGACTATCTAAATGGTCACATATGAATATAGTGTACAAAATTGAATATAAAAATTGTGACGCCAAATACGTGGGCCAAATGAATAGAAAAGCACGAATAAAAGAACATAAGGACCAGATAAATTGGAACACCTAACAACATTCTCGGTTATAACGGAGCATAGATTGGATTCAATGCACGAATTTGATTGAGAAGGAGTAAAGATTTTGGATGGAGAGAGTATTTTACAAAGAACAGCTTATATCTAAAATAATCTATGTAAAATAGCAAAAAAATGGTTTAAATTTAAAAAATAATACTGATCTGTTAGATTCTGCATATTCAAATATATTACTTACACAACGTAAGATTTTCTCCCTTTCCACAACAATTATATCACACGAAAAACATCGATTGTTTATCGTATCTTCACACGAGATCCACATGTCGAACGGACAACAACAATCTAATATAGTTTAATATGTAAGTTTCTTAAAATATAATCTGTATTTTTCTTGCTTATATATGTAATTAATTTAACTAATCTGTGCTTCGCGGGTTTTCTCCATGTCTTGGTCCATTCTTGATGTGCCAACGTTTCGTGGGTGGTTTATACATAAAATTCAAGAAATCCGACTACAGCCCACAGATCTACTCGTTAGCTTCGACGTAGAATCCCTGTTTACACAAGTCCCAATAAAAGATACGATTAACATAATAAAAACCTCACAAAAAGTCTCCTCTGACCTCATCCCATTAATAGAGCACTGCCTAACGACCACGTACTTCTCCTACGACAACCATTTCTACGAACAAACATCAGGAGCAGCTATGGGCTCTCCGATTTCTCCTGTAATCGCTAACATCTTCATGGAACACTTCGAGAAAGAGGCTCTCAGGAAAGCCCCAAAGAAACCAGAAGTCTGGTTCCGGTACGTAGACCACATTTGTAATATGGAGACACGGCAGATCTGAACTCCGAAAATTCCTCATCCACCTCAACAAACAACACCCCAATATCCGTTTCACCATAGACATAGAGGAAAACGGGAAACTCCCATTCCTAGATGTGCTGGTGTCAAAGGAGGCCAACGGCACCCTAGGGCATCAAGTGTACAGAAAAACAACACACACGGACAGATACTTACATGCTGAGTCACACCACCACCCAGCACAAAAACAATCAGTAATAAACTCACTGGTACACAGAGCCTTCGCCATCTCCGACAGAGGACATCTACGGACAGAAATAAACCATCTAAAACAGGCCCTACAAAACAACGGACACGACAAAAAAGACATAACCAAAATAATCAACAAACACACAAACAAGACAACGGCTCCGAACTCACAAACAGACGACAGGACTCTAACCATTCTCCCTTACGTCAAAAGAACTACAGACCGGATCGGCAGGATATTGAACAAACACAATATC